CCGTGTCCATTCCGTCTCGAATGCGCTCACGGAAAGCGCTTGAGAAACAGTGTCTCTTCTGCCGCTCGGTACGCTTTCAACTTTTTTTTTCTCTCGAGCAAGAGACCGTATGATATTCACGTTACATGATTTGACTGATTTTTACATAGAAAGGGCGACAGTGCACCGCATTAAAAGAAACAACATAAGCGGGTTTCATAACCACTGGCCAAATTCAAAAACAAAACTAAAATGAAATCATCTTTGAGAGCAAGGGGGTTCCCTGATGTTTCGGGGGCCCTACGCAGCTTGCATAATTTGCGTATAGGGAGGATCGGCTCTGTGAACCCTATAGAAAATAAATGGGGTGAACTGAAGAGGAGAAGGACCAACATGGAGCTGGAAATCTGAAGAGTCTGGAGAGATTCTGGATGAAGGAATGGTCTCTTGTGGGAACAGCAGCTACGCTAATTATGTCTCTATTTGTTTCTCTGTTTCTGCCACGGGATGTAGGATTTACACAAGCTTCAGTCTGGATCCAGAACACCTGAGAAGAGATAATGCCAACCCCTCAGAGGACCTCAGATGATGCCAACCCTGAAACAACATACAGAACTACCTAATTTTGCTATAAGTTTGATTGAATCATATAATAATTGCTGTTAATAGTGTTCATCGTCTGTTTTATTACGTCTTAAATTGATTTTTCCATACATTTCTGCCATATGTGCCATCTGAAATTTTCTTCTAAAATTAGCATTTTTATCATTTTATTTTATAATTGCTGTTAATAGTGTTCATCGTCTGTTTTATTACGTCTTAAATTGATTTTTCCGTACATTTCTGCCATATGTACATTAACTGACAGTCACCACTGATAAGCTACCACTAAATATTGTAGAAACTTAATTTGCTGTAAAGTTGCTTTGCAACGATTTGTATCGTGAAAAGCGCTATACAAATAAACTTGAATTGAATTGAATTGAATTGATCTCCTGTCAGATGTTCTCTAACCTCTTCAGGCATTATAGGAGAAACCTCAGAGCTGTTATCTTGGCAAAAGGAGGTTGCAAAAAGTATTGGATATCTCTATTTTGTTTCTCTGTTTTTGCCACGGGATTGACATCCCCACAAGCTTCAGTCTGGATCCAGAACACCTGAGAAGAGATGATGCCAACCCCTCAGAGGACCTCAGATGATGCCAACCCTGAAACAACATACAGAACTACCACATTTTGCTATAAGTTTGATTGCATCATATAATAATTGCTGTTAATAGTGTTCATCGTCTGTTTGATTACGTCTTTAATTGATTTTTCCGTACATTTCTGCCATATGTACATTAACTGACAGTCACCACTGATAAGCTACCACTAAATATTGTAGAAACTTAATTTGCTGTAAAGTTGCTTTGCAACGATTTGTATCGTGAAAAGCGCTATACAAATAAACTTGAATTGAATTGAATTGAATTGATCTCCTGTCAGATGTTCTCTAACCTCTTCAGGCATTATAGGAGAAACCTCAGAGCTGTTATCTTGGCAAAAGGAGGTTGCAAAAAGTATTGGATAAAAGGGTATGATTAATTGTGACCAATGTGTATTAGAGAAAAAACAATTATTTCATAATGAGATTTGTCTCCCATTTTAAATTCTTATTCTCCGATGAAAGGTTAGATTGTTGTCAATTTTTAAAATAAAATATCAAAAGGATTAATGATACAGATTAATTTTCACAGCCTTCTTTGATCTTATTAACCAAGGGTATGAATACTTTTGAGCACAACTGTATACAAAAAGCTAATGAAAAGTAATCTGTAAAAACATAACTTTTGTTTATAATAGCACACAATGATTTTCTATTCAAATATGGGAAATAAGATTTGTTTGCACCATTTCATAATGTACTGTTTTAAATTTTGACATTCATAGGCAAATTGACATGACATGAGATAAAAATAAGATTTTAATGATAAAACAATACGATCGTATTTATGGTTTTCTCATTTATATCTCATGACTCGTGTCACTTTTCCTACAATGTTTCTTACCAGAATCTACTCTGTACCTTACCCATGATATGCTGCAAAAGTTCATAATGCCTATCCACAGCAGTGATTAGAAACTGATATATTTTGTTTATGAAGATGAAATTCTCAAACTTTATTTTTGAGGGGAAAAAAACATAAAAGCACAACAATGGCTTGATGAGATATTAATAATGAAAATTTTAATTCCAATATTAGTTACCTGTGAACCTTAATTTAAAGAACCATTTATTAATGAGTTATAAATGTTAATAACCTGTAAAAGTGCTCCTTAATGTAAAGTGAACACCTGTGATCCATTTATTATTGAGTTAACATTAAAATGTCTAAAAGTGAACCTTAAAGGTGGGGTAAGTGATTTCTGT